GTTTTGCGCGCTAGGAGGTCGGGCTCGTACGCTAATAGTCACTCCAATACCAATCTCAGCATTTTCATGGCACGAAATGCGATGGCTGCCTAACGGCGTAGCTGCTTTCAGTTTGTTCAACCCATCCAGATGTTCTTTAAGGCGGCAGCAAAGAGGTCGTCCTGTTTTTCCGATATACGTACACCACATGATAAATATGTGATGAGATAGATAACCCCGGAGATCATGCAATCACCCTTTTTGCCAAATGGGCAAACGACGCAAGCTGAGGTTAGGCATGTACGATCGTAAGATCGATTTCGGACCAATTGGCGCTTTAGGTTCGAGGGTGGTATATCGACCCCCTGACATCGTCTTGCAAACCCGCGAGATGTACGCATCGCCGCAAGGCCGCGCTTATCTTATCCTACGAACGGTAAGCAGAAACAAATTTTGGTAAGTGGCGCACCCGGGCTGCTAGAACTGGCTCTGCGTCCTACAAACCGCGTTTGGGATAGGCTCAGCAGCATACCCATTAGAACTAGCTACTTGATAAGCTAACTCCAAAGAGTAGATTCGCTCTTGCATGCCCGAAGACACTTTTGCTGCTGTCCGATACATGTTCTTTATAACCGCCTTTTTAAAGGCACCGTCCACCCAAAATGGAGGTTGGCGAGATTATGATGGCATACTAGAGTGGGCCCCCCGCACTGAGCAAACCCCCAATTTCAACGCAAAAGACTGCTTCTGGAGCGAGAAATCCGCTCCGGAAGTAGCAAAGTAGTAGAGCGCGGTCGCCCCGCCCACTTGCATGCTTTATCTCGCCTGCGCTTGTCGCAGAGGGTTCTCGAAACAGCAATTCTTGGGGGTTTCGCGGATTTTCGACTCCATATTCGGAATCAGGGCTTTCAGAAGGCATGAAGGCGACAAAAACATTGAATTCGAGATTTTGGGTGGACGGTGCCTTTAAGCTTGCTGGGATGCGCAGACAAATAATGTACTAAAATGTTTTTACAGCTGGGTTTGGGGTACCATCTAGTTTTATAATCCCACCGCACAGCCGTACTTGTACATTGAGAAACGGTAGCCAGTTTTCCTTGGGCTTTTCCCGCGTGAACTTGATATTTGGGTATTGCTGATTTAGAAGATTGAAACAAACATCAATCTCGGTTTGCGTCGCACAAATGATGAAGCAATCATCTATATAACGACAATATAGCAATGGTTCCCTTGAAAGCACAAGCGCTTCTGCTTTGGACATGAAAACAATGGCTAGAGTTGGCGCTAATCGCTGTACCATCGCTAAACCCCGGACCTGCTTATATAATAGTAGTGACCTGACCACCTAAGTATGGAACACTTTAAGCATTCGCTTAAAAGGGTCATGATGCTACTGAGACTAAAGCCGTACAGGTTTAGGGAACTTTGATGCTCTAAGAGGAGTTCGTAAATCTCGCTTGCATCGCCGCATCACTCGATACATTTGTATATAAAGACGTTACATCGAATGATTCCATCACACAATCTGGGATCATTAGTGTGCATCGGAGACGCTCTAGAAGCATATTAGTGTTTGATAAATGAGCGGGGACATATCTTAGCAATTGTGCAAGTATGATATTCAAGAACCAAGCGATTCTGTCGGTGGGGCTTGCAACGCTGCTTATAATTGGTCTTACTTTGGAATCGCAGGAATTTTCCGATGTCAGTCCTGTGGCAGGAAGTTTGTGGGTCTTTATTAGCGTGTATAGGACGGGACAGATAGGCAAGTCGCTTTTGAGGCGCGTAGCAATACTCTTTGGTAACCCTGCAGAGCGAGCACTATCTATCCAGATCCCATTTAGACGACGGTATTGTTTGGCAAACTCAGCGGCGCTTGACGGCTGATATATGGTAACATCCATCAGATAGTTGAGCGTGATCGCCATGTCTAACTCACGAGAAAGCACCAAGAACTCTCCCCCTTGTCGCTGGCTGAGATTTTGATCTCACCTGCGTTACATTTATCGCGGATTTCGTGCAAGCCACGGTATTGGGAAACGGTTAAATTATTCTTTTGGCGCTTATTATTTGATCGGTTGAGAATGGAGAAGATGAATGTTGCGAAAACGCGAAACTTCGCGTCAGCTGCGCTATTCGGTTCCTGTGGCTTGTAATACAGCCGTGGAAAAGGTATAGGAGGCAGTGGGTTTATCGCCGCATCTCTCCACTCTCTCCTTCGCGCCTTTCGTCGTTTGCCCTACGCCGCAGTCCTTCGTGGACATATTGGAGGCTAGTTACAATCTTACGCGAGACCCTCGGTCCTATTGAAGTTGCGCAGGTGCAAAATGGGCCAAGATCCAAGACTGAAAGGGCATCATTAGATAAGAGTACATTGCTAAGGATCGAAACACGTGAACTGTTTGGTCTGCCTGGTACCCCCGCAGGGATGTCATCAGTACAGTCTGAGTTTTCCGCGAGAAGGCTTGTATTGGCTAATGCACGCGAACTCTGGCTTTGCCCTTGACTAATCAATCTCTTGAATCTCTCTTGAAGTCTAGACCTGGCATCAAGGCGAACGTAATCACAAATGTTTATCGACTCACCCACAATCCTCGTCCAAAGGTTTTCGGGCACGAGACATTGGCAACATCCTTGTACAAGCATTTTGACAGAAGCGAATACATATGATTTTGCTTCGTCTTCAAGGCAGTGCGCAGCAGTTGTTGTTCGATTTCTTGTATCTCCTGGCAACCTTTGGGAACACCGCACAGATCGCGAAGTCGTTTTCTTGCGATGAAGTTCGGCACGACTTGGTGGTCTAGCGGCGTAAGAACAGGATCGTTTGTCTTTCCGAGACGATCTTCTGTCTCAAGGAAAGGACTTCCTTCACCAACCGAAAGTAGCTCGCTGGTACATCTTTTAATATTGTCCAACTTCGGTTGCTTATTAATCTTGGCATCGATAGTTGATAAACGTTTGAGCTTGTTGAGCGTCGACCAAGATATTAACCACACTTTATTCACGGCCAACGTTTCGGCGGGATCGCCTTCGTCAGTGCCTAAAAAGTCCAAAACATAATTGAAACATTCTCCTAGACGCCAAGATTCTAGCTCAAAACGAAAGTCAAATTGGAGAGAGGCAAAGGCAAAAGGAGATCGGGTTGACTTTCGTTTTGAGCTAGAATCTTGGCGTCTAGGAGAATGTTTCACTTATGTTTCCGACTTTCTAGGCTCTGACGAAGGCGATACCGCCGAAACGTTGGCCGCGCATAAAGTGTGGTTAATACAGTGCTGGACATAATTATACAGCCACTCTAGAAATCGTCGTAATTTTTGTTCTTGTCAATGAATCTGTCTGAAACTTTGCTGTATTGTGCGCATGTCAACCTACCATAACCCCTCAAAACGGCTTCCAGTCTTGTTGAGTTTGAACGGAGAAAAACGAAAAAAATCAAAAAAGCCCTCTTTGAAAGCTGGACAAAATTATACAGTCACCTGACTTTTCTAATCACTATCGCATTCGTTGACTCTCAAACTTTGTTGTACAATTATCCCAAAATATGAAACATTTGCGACACTTACGGCCTATCTTCCTACTCAAATAGAAGCAATCGCTGCATTTCTTGCTTTTAAAAGCATTAAAAGTCAATCTCCTTCAACAAACAACTGCTTTAAAGAGTTTTCAAGCTCTTGTTCATTCCAAATGATAACCATGGAATCTACTGACCCTTCTGGATAGATGAGGTGAAGAGCGCTTTCGTAAACTCTGCGTAATCGCTGATTTTGACGGAAATAGGCTTGGAACGCTTTTAAACCACAAAACTCAGTTTGCAATGTCCACAAAGTGCTGAACTTGATTTATCACATTGTCTACATGGGGATACAGCTTTCGCAACAACTTTCAGATTTTTCCTAATGATGCGGTAGCGATTTAGACCTGGAATTTCCACAAAAATTCCCTGCGAGCGGAAGATTCGATATAACCCTAGATCTCCTTATTTCCGCCTGTGTTTCATGTCATATTTCACCCGATGAATGAGATTAGCTAAGATTTTGAAGTTTTAAGCGTCTCCGGTTTTATCTCGTGATCTGAGTTGGCTTTGATTGTACAGGGTGCTCCACTCAACATTCAGTGAATGTCAACTGCGGCTGAATCAGAGTGCTCAGTCCCGAAATTTCTTCCCAGTCATGCACACGAGTTCACTGTTGTATGGCTGTCGTAATGGCTACATTACAGTATTTTCTGTCGCTTGAAAATCGAGTTTCGTGGTGCAAAAGTGCGTCAACCCTATGGTGAGGGTGGAGTCTGTTCGTCAAAATCAGCGATTACACAGAGTTTACGAAAGCGCTCTTCACCTCATCTATCCAGAAGGGTCAGTAGATTCCATGATTATCATTTGGAATGAACAAGAGCTTGAAAACTCTTTAAAGCAGTTGTTTGTTGAAGGAGATTGACTTTTAATGCTTTTAAAAGCAACAAAAGCAGCGATTGCTTCTATTTGAGTAGGAAGACAGGCCGTAAGTGTCGCAAATGTTTCATATTTTGGGATGTAATTGTACAAAGAAATTTGAGAGTCAACGAATGCGATAGTGATTAGAAAAATCAGGTGGCTGTATAATTTTGTCCAGCTTTCAAAGAGGGCTTTTTCGATTTTCTTCGTTTTTCTCCGTTCAAACTCAACAAGACTGGAAGCCGTTTTGAGGGGTCATGGTAGGTTGACATGCGCACAATACAGCAAAGTTTCAGACAGATTCATTGACAAGAACAAAAATTACGACGATTTCTAGAGTGGCTGTATAATTATGTCCAGCACTGTATCTTGGTCGACGCTCAACAAGCTCAAACGTTTATCAACTATCGATGCCAAGATTATTAAGCAACCGAAGTTGGACAAGTTTGCATCCGCTGTTGAATAATTCTAGGCACAGTTCTCTGTAACGTTATAGAACTCCCAAAGTGCATTTCCTAAAACTTCACTTAGATCCGCAGTTTTGCAGTGTACACTATAGAAGACAGAGACACATATTCAACGTTTTCAGGAGAGCTCTTCAACTACGATTGCAAGTAGCATGGTGTTGCTAAGTCTGGTTTTGGATTTTACAGCCCACTTCTGTGCAGGATATGCCTAAGCTTGTCATGTACATAAACATTTGCTTTATCCTTCTTCAATGATCTTCTTTTTTCAAATTCTTCGATCTTCCAAAATAAAAACTCACAATTTACTTTGTATACATGAAAACAACAACTTTCATTTGACACTAATAAGCTGAGTCAATATCTCACTATATTTTACAAAAGAGACTATTCAGTATAATGATAAAAGATAATGAATGAAGATGACATATATGCTTAATGAATCTGATATTTCATGTCGCATATTCACAACAAAACCAGACAATACAAACGCTGTCCGATTTTCGTTAAAACCGTATATGTGGTAGGAATTTTCTGTTAACACGGAAGAACAACAAGCAACGAGATGTTTTCAGCTTTGCACGAATGATACACGGCTAGCTAGCAATGCAGAACAAGTCAGCATAAATTGCAGAAAAAGGAATATTTCTCAATTATTCGAAAAACTAAGTACTTCAAAAGAAATGCTAACAACAATCCCAACAAACAAGATGGAGGTTAAATTAAGCAAGCAAAGCAATTAGACAGCATTACTGCACACAAAAAATTGTGATCCAAAAATTTTAAGCCGTTTCCTTTCTTCGCCTTTCACGTTCTTGTTGTGTAGGAGGCGGTGGCGTTCCTTTCCTATGCAGGACTTCTATGTACTCATCAAGAATTCTGTCGCGTTCTGATGCGTGATTTTCGGACATGCGCATCCATCTTTTATCGTTCTGAGGTAAAAAAAAATTAAGTGGAAGAATTATGATTCTACAACTGTGCTAACCTCAAGGACGGCCAGGATGTCTTTCAAATGTTGCTCGTTCTCCTCAATCATACGCTTACTCTTATATGTGATAATTTTCGTTTCTTTGAGCAAATCCTTGAATTCACGTACAGCATTGTCATGCCGCAGCTCTTGCCAGTCACGATAGTCTCGCTCAACTTTCTAAAAAGTTTCATGTTCAATAGTGTTCAAGTGAAACAGTTGTTTCTAATTGAAGATCCTAATCAAAAGACTACAACTGACCCTCTCACTGTTGCTGGCAACTTTCGAAAACGTCTCTTCTTCATCTTGAATAATACGCCGAGCATCCTTCCACCGGGTTTGTGTTGTGATCTTTGGATGCTCATCAAGGACAGCAAAGAAAGCGTCCCTTCGCTTCTTTTCGAGGTTTCTGAATAAAGGATGTATAAAAATATGCATAAATAGAACAGGAACTAAAGAAAATTACGAAAGTTAATAAGAAATGAAAAAGTTACCTAATATGCTCGTTGAATGCACTTTCTTTCTTCTCCTTATCCAGTAGATCACATTCAGCATAACGTTCGTCTTTGCGTAAAATACGTCTCGTTTCATGCCAGTTAGCTTCCGCTGATTTCACCTAAAAATAGTTCAACTTATGAAATGAATGCAAGCATTTACGAAAATGTAACTTACCAAATCAACGAGGAGGGCATTGAAGCGTTCCTGATGTTCTTGCATGCGATGGCGTTCACTCTCTAAGTCGCGCTCTCGAAGTTTATCACCTAGTTCAGCTTCCACCTAAATAATTGTTAGCTATTTAGTTTCAAGTTTGATAAGTTGATGATGGTCAATGTTTGATTTCGAGAAAATTAAAAAATCTTAATAATCAGAGCTGACACGATGAGCAAGTCAAGAAAACTATATCAACAACAATTTGCCAAAACAAAGAAAAGGTGCAACAGTTCTTACCTCTCTCTGTCTAGCAGCAATAGCAGCGTCTGCTGCGAGACGTTTCTCGCGTTCAGCTTCTTCTTCGATGTCCTAAACCCATGAAAGTATGTAATAACAAAACAGTGAACAGCAGCAACACTTACTGATAAACTTTCGTCCCCTAATTTCTCCACATGATCGCGGAACATCTGTTCTCTAGACGATGAACTTTCCACAGCTTTATATCTCTCATCATTCTCAAGAAGTTTCTTTGCAGTAGACCATTTCGTCTTTCTTGTGAAACTTGTCTGCTCAGCAAGGAGAGCCATAAACTCCTTCTTTGCCTTAATAAATAAGTTCAGATCATTACTGTAAACCAAAAGAGAGAAAATCATGTAGACCCACTTTTTCCTTCTTTTCTCTGCGTTCCTCTTTCTCCTTCTTGTGCAGTTCACCTACATACTCGTTGAAAAGATCTTCCCGATCGCGCATCTTTTCCACAGCTTTGAAACGCGGGTCTTTGCCAAATTTCGAACCAAAAGACGAGAACGAAGATCTGGGAAAGAGAACGATATGATGAAACTTCTTTGCATAAGTTACCAGGGCACTTGGTTTAGAAAGTCAACTGAAGAAAATTTTGGCAACTTACTTTCCATGAAGCTCAGCCTCTTTCAGAAGCTCTTGGAACTTCTCCTTGGCCTCTTTCATGCGGCGCTTCTTCTCAGCGCGCTCTTGTTCTAGCTTCTCGCGAACATAAGCATCGAAGCACTAGAATAAGCACGCTAATAGCACAGAAAACAATAACGTGTGAAACAAAAATCTCAATTATGAGCACAAAAAGAATATTTAGGGTCAATTCTTACCGCTCTTCTTTCAGTGGCACTAAGAAGCAAATATCTAGGATCGAATACAATCTTTGACAGCTCCTTCTCAAATGTACTCCCAGTAGCCACACCTTTTTCTCCAAGCATAGTTTTGAACTGCATAAGACGTTCTTCAAGAGGCATCTAGAATGAATAAGTAATTATTTGCGCAATATATATACATCTAGTCGCACAAACCTTCTCACGATCACGCTGCGCCTGAAGCTCGGCTTGAACTGCAGGATCTATTGGTTTCTCTAGCATTTGACGAACAGGCTTTTCCTGTAAATACAAAGATAATGCTCTTGATTGCTAATAATCAAAAAGGCACAAAGTAATTGAATTGACTAGACCAACCGCTTTTACCTTATCCTTTTTCTGCTGAGCTAGCAGAGCTTCCTTTTTGCGTTCTGAACGACTCTTCTTCTTCGGTGGTCCGCCATCTTCAGTTTCTTCATCAGAGCCATCAGAATCACCTTCAGCATTCGCATGCTCGGGTTCATCTAAGACAACTTCATACAGGGGAAAAAATAAATACGAAATCATCCTGCTCACCCTTTTTGACCTCGGGACATTTGCTGACAAGCACATCAACATCGGCTCTTCCGTACATTTCAGGTGGTCTCTCCCAAACAGATGTCTTCGTAGATGGATTGTAAAAGAATACCTAGAAAAAAGATTACGATTAACAAGACAGAGGCGCCACAAAAAGTATCAAAAGCAAACCTTCCCATCCCCAGTCCATACCACACACCATGCAGTTCCACTGACGGGAGTACTGCTGATGGGACGCGTATTATCTTTCTTCTCTTCTTTCTTCTGCTGCAGCTGCGAGTGTTGTAGTGCTAGATTTTTGCTCTGAAAATCGTAAGTGCTGTAAATGGAAATTTTATGGCTCAGATCAAAAATTGCAAAATAATAAGGTAGAACTCCATGGGGAGAAAGCGGAGAGAGATGCGAACATACATCGAGCGCACTTCAAAGTAGAAACATTCCGCAATGTCATAAACTCAGAATGATTGAAAACAATCATACCATATCTGAAAGAAAAAGTAAGTGGCATACCTGAGCCAAGTATTGAGCTAAAGCTGCCTGAGCCTTTGCCTGCGCCTCAGCAATTGCATCAGGTTGCAATCCAGCCGTATTTGCGGTAGCGGCAGCTACTGGCGCAGCTTGTGGAGCAGGTGAGGATGTGTCCATGGGTGACTTTCCTGCTGAAATTATAGGGATGTTTAGAGTAGAAACCGAAATGCACCACACTTACCTTCCTTGTCAATCAAGGCTTGTGGTTTGTCCCATGTATTCTCTTGTGTGATGGAGTTGTAGTAGTATTTACGGCCATCTGGAGCTGTATACTCATTCCAAGCATCGTCAGGATTTGTAGGAACCATCGGTTGTCGTCCTCCCGCCACAGGGAATCCCGGTGGGAAAAATGGAGGTGGCATATAACCTGTAAAAGCGTATTTTCAACTAGGTAAGAACGTATTCCAACTGATTCCACAATCACAAGTAAGGCACAGGTCCACACCTGCTTGTGCTCTCTGTGCATAAGCGGTAGCGCTCCTTTGTGCCTCTGAAATTTGACTGGCATTACAAATTGCAGCTGACTAGCGTCTGCAGCTTAGCAGACTTGACTTGAGTGATCATCATGAAGGATGAGAAGGGTGCCATTTGTCAAGGAGTCCAATTATAGGGTCATATTCAAATTCAACGATAATTTAAAACTATTCCATAGCTTTTAATCGCACTAATATCTCAGTTTATATTGTTCATATATGTAGGTTTCTACATTATAACAAAATGGACATTACACTATTGCGCGCGACGAGCGCGAAGCGAAGATAGAGCCCAGGAATTCGGTTGTACACGCTCACGCCGCTGTCCATCAGCCACATTCGACATCTCACATTGGCGACTTTAAGAACGGAGAATTAGCCAAGAACGCGAATTTGGTGTCTGAATGCCTAATGCAACCTTCATGCAAACCGTTTTGCCTTCTATTGAGCTTTGGTACGCGGTGCCCATAGAAAAAAAATCTAATTTTTACCTCACAGATGCGCAAAAATTTTCAGCTCGATAAATACTTTGCGAATACTTTTATTCGATGTAAAGACCTTATGAAGTTTTATCCTGAAAAAAGAAGCGCTTTGATGACTGAACTATCAATCTACATAAGACAACTGGAAAAGGTGTGACAATCATTTTTCTATAATTCTCAAGAATAGCATTCTGATTGAAGTTTCTTTGAAAAGCGATGCTTCTGAAAAACGAAAAGGGGAGGTGGAAGATTTAGTCTACCACGCGATTTCCTTTGTAAACACAATTTCCTTCACCGCGCCCAACACTCGATAGAAGACTATAACAAACTTGGTTGCGTTCTAGTTTCTCATTCTGCGTTTATCATATTATAATGATTTAACCTGCCAGTTTATTTCAGTATCATTCAGGAACCTTCTTCTTTATATTCCATTCGATGTGCCGACTCGCGTTGCAGACAGAAGTGTTGGGAGTACTATAGGGTGGGAAAACGAATACAAAAATTACGAAAACACCTGTCCACTGCATCACTTGACACAAGAAAACTTATCGCTCTACCTGCTCATCACTAACCTGATTTTCCAGCGCATCCTGAAACTCCTACCGATTCACCCATATAAGTACAGTCGAATATTTCGATGATACAACATTTGTATTGGATCCTAATGGCAAAGGAAAGTGCTGTGAGGGCTTGTGTGATGCTGTGCATGAGCAATCACATGGATGATCAAGCTTTGCACGAGCTTCAGTCACAAAGCAGCCAATATTCAAAAATTGCAAGAAGATCGAGCAATTCTTGAACTTCCGAAAAGTCAGCTACTGAAAGTCTATAGGACTAGGAGCCTCACCTTCACGTTCTTTCTGCTCCTCCTCAGTCGCCTTCTGAATCAACTCAGCAAGTTCAGTTTGACCGACCACCTTTGACTTTTCCGGACGATCCCAAACTGTCTCACGTGTTTGCCAGTGATAGAAGTACGGCTTTCCTTCTGGTGATTTAGCTTCGACCCATAGTTCCTCATCGTCTTCACAGTTTGCAAGCTAAAAAAGGAGAAGGTTGTTTCAGAAAAAATGAAGCCTCCATTCACCGAAAATGTCCATGAAGCCTATAAATTATACAAGAACTAGTTTCCTTTACTTGGACTCTAAATCGATGATTATTATTCCGCACATTACTTCTATAATTTATTCCTAACATATCTAGCCAACATATTAGACATCATCAAACTTTTCCGCCATTATTTGTGAGATTTCAAAAATCTAGTGTGATGAACAATCGGAAAGCAACTAAGCACTCAACAGAGAGAATTCCGCAAATCAAGGAACTAGATAGAGAATTAAGAAGCGTACCTTTTTCAATCGTGTCGCCTGATCAACAACGGGGGCTGCTGTTTGTTGAGATCCATAATTGGGATATCCTCCAGGATAGGAAGAGTTACCACCCGTATATCCTCCTCGGTATGATGGAGGGTACGTAGTTCCTCCTCCACGTGCAGGCGGAAATCCTCGTGTACCACGGAATGAAGGCGGAGCAAACCCTCGAGCAGGAGGATTCGAATTACCGCGCATGAAGGGAGGTGCTAAATTTATCAATATTGGGATGAAGAAAGAACTAAGGAATAACTGTCTACTGTTGCAATGAACTGCAACAACTTACGGAAGAATGATGGTTGTTGGGATTGGCCTCCTGGTGCTTGTTGCTGTTGCCCAGGTGGTTGCTGCGACTGTTGCTGTGGCGGTTGTTGCTGATGAGGCGCAGCACCTCCGCGGCCCGGAGGCATCCCGCGATATGGAGGGCTAAAAAATAAAGACATATTTCCTTCACTGAATTAAAAAATTTACAACTTCAAAACCTTGGGAAAAACTGACGCTTCAGCACAGCTGCCATATGATGCACTGCACAACTAGTGCGAAATTTTCGTCATGAAAATATACACCCTATACCTGATAAGGCTATATTGATTAGATTATACAATACGCCAGCGAAAAAACCATACGTCATCAGTAAATTCGTACAAACCACTGTTTTCAATACATTCACATAAAAACTTCATCACGCAAATGTATGGGAAAACTGCTCGAAAAGATACAAAATGAAATTTGCAGCAACCGCGGGAAAACAGACCGACATATTCTCCTAGGCAACGCCTACTGTTCATGCCACATCAATCGATTCAAACCGAAATTGGACTGTTCGACCATGTATGTGTAAGTCTGCTTCATTCAAAACTTTTCCAGTAATATTGGTAAAGCCCGAGGCCGTTTTTTACGTACCGTTTTTTGTGCAAACACAACCACAGGCAATACGTCATGTTGCGATTTTCTGTGAAAATTATCGATGTTAATATGAAACAAATTAGCAAAACGTTTTGGACCTTAGTGAACTTGGTACAGTGCAACGAAGTATCGATACCCAAAGCTCAAAGGTTATATATCAGTAGACTCCAATATCTAAACCAAAAAGTTCAAAAAAAAACTATGTTTCTGCGTTTTTTCTTCTCTTTTCGCTGATCTCGTATTTTCTTTGTATGATGTCACACAAGAGAAGAAAAAAGAGCGGGAAATGATTTCGCATTTTAGGTGCAACTTCTACAGTGCTGACAAGCAGGTGCTACACATATGCAAGTATCTAAGAGCTCCACTTTTAGCAATGGAGAAGCGTTCAATATCGCAGAAGATTCGTGATTCCATATCAATCTTCACTAAACATATAGTTCAAAACGATCGCAATCGAATCCAACGCAAAGATTTGGTTAGCATAATAAAGGCAAAAATAGCACCATAGCGCAAAACTCATAGAATCAAAAATGCTATTTGTTCTCGATGTCCTAGATACAAAGTTCGTAAGATGATATCGTTTGAGATCTGCAACGTGGTTGGAGATGGCCGCTCAAAGAAGGCATTTTAATGAGAATGCTCATCGTCAGATAAAAGTATTTTTACAAGTTTGCGTTGATTCTTGACTTGATTACACGTAGCACAGCGCCTCATAGCACCCCATTGTAGATCCCTGGGCATACTTAAGAGCCGGGCATACATTACTCGATTTCGTCACCTCGCACTTCTCCCAACAAGACAACTGTTGCGAATTTGTTGCATGCTGATCATCTTGCATTTCGGTTGTGATAGTTAGTCCGACTAGTCGTGTAGGAAAACTGTCACAATCAAAATGGAAGATGACCTCATGCAAAGAACGCGAAGCAGTTGTCTTGTGATGTGAATCGCTAGGCGATGAGATCGCGTGATGTAAGCTTGGTCCTTTACACCGTTTCGACAATTTAGCAATAGGTGGCAGATGCCTTCAAATCCGACGATGGCAGACTACAGATGCATAGCGTGTATTATTTCTTAGTGATGAGATTTCTATCCCTTGTATATTGAGAATGCGCCTGCGATATATGAGCAAGTGGAGTACGCTGGCATATCGCGTCGAATGTTTGAAACATTAAACAACATGAATGTTTGAAACTTGCAAAAAAAAGAGCTTTGCAAAATGATTTTCTCGACCATGCTTAATATCAACAAGAAAAATCTTCTCACCGTGCCATGCCTCTTCCTCTGGAAGCATCGCCAGGAGGTCCTTGATAGCCATCCTCATATCCACCGCCATAGTTATCATACCCATGATGTTCATCATATCCTTGACTCGCATCGTATCCTTCTCCATGCTCGCCCCAGCCGTGAGCGCCATCATGATTACCTGAAGAAAGATTTTCTTAAATCACCTATAAAAGCGCATTTTCCATCCCAATGATGACTTCGCAGAACTCTAGGTAAACTCAAATGTAAGCCATTATTAGAGGAGGCAGTTTATGGAGCGCTTTATGCGCATGATTTGTGGTCAAAAAACATAGGAAGGGAGAATCAAAGAGGCAAGTTTTCAACACTGAAAAGCTGAGGAGAAACTTTTCAAGTAATGAACACCTGTGTCATTCTGATAAGCCTCGTGGCCGTTGTAGCCCGAATTGACGTCATGCCCACCGCCCGTATGGGCGTGACCGCCATCAACTGGCCCATTATGATCAGCTAGAAGTGAAAACAATTCCGTGTATCACAAATTCGAACGTTGATACAAGTACTTTACATTGTACAAATAGGCAAGATAAGGAAAAAATACGTTTTCGCTTGATTGAGAAATCATGTTTCATAAGAAAAGCCTCTGCTGAAGCAAAATTTCTGAACGAATTTTGTATAGGAAAAATAAAATAGAAGACGTGTTCTCTTCGTTTAAGACTACTCTTACCTGGTCCATCAGGACCTCCATGTTGATCATGATATCCTTGATGCATATTGCCATCTATGTGATGTTCATGATGTGCATAATTCGGATCTAGAATGTACGACATAAGATGATCAGTCTCTCGCAATAAGAATCTTGTAATGCAATTTTCTACTTCATGCTGTAAACTAATCCCAGTCACTGAATGAAAAACGTATAACATGGATGAAATAGCTGTGTTGTCCACAGTCCATATTAGACAATGACTAAGTTAAATCAATGTAAGTTCAATAAAAGTTCATGATCCCGTAGCGTTCTCTTCTGCTCATTACTTCCTATTCCTCTGTGAAGCTCTTTATACGGTAAGATACTTCTCCATCTGTAGCTTCCCCTATTTCACTATTCATAACTGCGCATGGCAAAGCGCAACCTAATTGGCACCAGCTCCCAAAAAGTCATTGCAACACCCAATGGGAACGGCCATAGGTTGTCGGTGTTGTCGGTGTTGTCGATGTTGTCGGTATTGTCGGGGTTGCCGAGGTTGCCGGTCGTTGTAGGTCCTCATGATAGCCTCCACGTTTCGCGCGCTCTCTAAACTGTCTCTGACCCCGACAACTCCGACAACACCGACAACACTGACAACACCGACAACACTGACAACACTGACAACACCGACAACATCGACAACCTATGGCCGTTCCCAATGGAAGTTTCTTAAAGGCAGTGTCCAATCAAAAAGTCGATTTTGAGATTTTGTGCTTACCCGAGCCTATTTGCCATGCTGAATACGATAAACCACAATGAAGAGCGCGAAAACGCCCCAAAAAGGCCCTAACGTAGGAGGGAAATCGCGAGTACGCGGGGCCGTTCACACCGTGACTTCACTTCCCCAGGCTTTGGGAGCGGTCTTCTCGGTTCCAATTCTATGTCATGCGTTTCGCAGTTGGATGGTGGTGATGTTAGGGCTACTAGCGGAAGCGAGAAGATGGCTTCTGAAGCTGGGAGAGTGACGCCACTATGTGAACAGCCCCGCCCACCTGCAATTTTCCTCCTCCGTTAAAAGCCTTTTTTCGCCGTTTTCGCGCTTTCCAGTATGGATTTTTGGATTCAGCGTAGCGAATAGGCCCGGGTAAGCACAAAATCTCAAAATCGAGTTTTTGCCTGGACACTGCCACACACAAAGTCGATTTTGAGATTTTGTGCTTACCCGGGTCTATTCGCTATGCTGAATCCGAAAATCCACATCGGAGAGCGCGGAAACGACGAAAAAGGGCTCTAACACTGGAGGGAAATCAGCAAGTGGGCGGGGTCTTCCCCACCTTGAATTGACGCTCCCAGCTTCGGGGGCGATCTTTTTGATTTCGGTTTTAAGTCATTCGTTTGCACTTGATCGGTAGTGATGTCAGGGCGGCTAATGGATTCGAGAAAATTGCTCTGGAAGCTGGAAGCGTGAATTCACAGTGGGGAAGACCCCACCCACTTGCTAATTTTCCTCCAGTGTTAGAGCCCTTTTTTGTCGTTGTCGCGCTCTCCAATGTGGATTTTCGGATCCAGCATAGCGAATAGGCCCGGGTAAGCACAAAATCTCAAAATCGAATTCTTGCCCGGACACTGCCTTTAAGCTCCAATCAAATTAACCGCGCCCTTTGACTGTTTACCACATTTTAAATCACTAACGGGTCCAGGCCGTCCTTTCATTGAATAAAAACCAACGGACAGACTAAATTAGATAATTCACAAAGCGATACTATTCCACATTAGTTGACCCAATAGATTAAAATCGTGGATTTCGCTAAAACTTCGTCCAAGGGGGTTATTTTGCAGGCTGATTACGAATATCGCACTTGTTTCGCACGGTAGTGCCATCTGATGGGGTTACGGTAGGATTACGATTGCGGGTCAAAACCACGGATTTGCCCCAAACTTCGTCTAGGGGGAGGGATATTTTCGCTGAACATGAGGGTTATATCCGATTCGCACGAAAATATTATTTTCCCGGGCTACGGCAGTATACGACAGATTGCTAAAAATCCCGAATTTGCTCAAAAGTTTGTCTAGGGGGATTGTCAAGCACGCTGATTACGAATACATGCTCTTTTTGCGTCTTGTCGTGGAATTACGATAGGTGTACTGTAGGTAGCTCAAAGGCAGTGTCCGGGCAAAATGGGGGTTCTGAGATTTCTCTGCCATGTGAAAGTAGCCCCCCTGAGACACAACATCGCGCAACTGCGAGCATAAAACGTTCGACCTAAAGCAAGAAAAACGATTGCAAATTGGGGAAACTTACGCCTTGGGGCGGGGTCCTCCGAGTTGTTGGAATTCCTGCCAGACGGCAGAGTACGTATGCCGCCACAGTTAAAAACCGTGCGCTCTTTGCAACCTCTGCGTCTTAGCCTGGCGGGGATCTCCAAATTTCGAAATGTGAGGACTTGGAAAATGCATGTTCTCGCCGTTTTCGCGCCTTCTGATGTGGATTTTCGGATTCAGCGTTGCGGATAACCCCAGATAAGTTGATTTTTTAGAAGTCGAGTTTCTGCCCGGACACTGCCTTTAAGTAATAGATCTGCTCGAATCTTTGTGCAGGGTGTTATCTGACGTGCTGATCACGTACATCGCACTCATCTCGCACGATAAAGTCTTTTCGTGGGTTTTTTGGGACCTAGATTTGGCTGAAAAGCGAGAAAATTGCTCTTTCACGCATTGTAGCTCATCGTGATTCTAACAATAAGGCATTGTTGCAATAAACGAGCATGATATTCGTCAGCGTGCTTGACAGCCCCCCTAGGTAAACTTTTGAGCAAATCCAGGATCCTTAGCCATCTACCGTATACCCACCGTAACCCGAAAAAATGGCGCCACCCTACGAAATGAATATGATATTTTTGTTGAGCTTGCCAATTAACCCCCTTCCCTAGACAGAATTGGTGCAAATCCGGCAAATCCGCGACTTATGTCTCCTACCGTAATCCTATCGTAACCGCACCAGATAGCACTACCGTGCAAAATAAGTGTGATATTCGTAATCACCGTGCAAAGTAATCCCCTTAGACGAAGTTGTAGCAAAATCCACAATTTTTACTTTTTGGGTCAACTAATGAGGATTATCGCCCACAAAGCTTATGATCTTCCAAAACTGTAAGTGTAAGCCATTCGACCCTTGGTACAAAAGTTTAGCAAATTCTCCAGTTACCTGCGCTTACACCTAATCTGCAGTAGAATCGGTTTCTATCCGTTTCTGAACCGGATCGGATGTTAGTTACCAACGGGTCAATGCAGGCAAAACAATCGCCGTGGTAAGTATGTATGGAAAATCTGAGTTCTCACACTGTTCATCCTTTAAGGGATGGTCTTTCTTTAGACAGCCTAGTACAAGATTTGTACAAGCTAGTCAAAGAAAATCGAAATTCCAAATTCTAACGACTTAGTGGATCATTTCAGGGTTGTTATTTAAAGGCAAGTACAATTTACTGACCTCCATATCCCCCGTTTGCATATGCATCATGATGTTGCTTGTCTGGGTGTGTTGGTGCAGCTTCCTGACCCGCTGATGCAGTATGATCACCACCGTTGGTTTCGTAGTCCATACTGGAAGAAAGAGATGGCAACCATGAGTTTATAAGAAGTTAATCAAGTAAGGACGATGGGCACAAAACATTAGATGCGCCATATTGCACGAACATGATCATGCTTCAAGATAACTTGCCAAGGAACATGAATCAATTATAGACAAAAACGAAACGAGACTTTTTAAAGGATATTTCAGGATTGGAAGAGGAAGCGAGTAATACAATGATGTGCTTTACTGATCAAAGTGGAAATGGATCTATCTCATTGGAACGCATTTTATCAATGACGAATTTCCATGTCCATAAGTTCTTATCTTCAAAAACGTGTCGGATTTTCAACAAGATAAATACAGAGGCATATCAGTCAATGAGAGGATATGCAGAAATCCCAAAAAAAACGAAAAGTGGATAAGCGCGCTCAACAAGGGGCTCAAGGCTGGTGTCGGTCATAATTTGCATAAAACAAATGTGCAAAAATATGGAAGTAATTATGCACAAAACTTTTCCGGCCTCTTGCGCATGAGCTATTTGAAAAAAATTGCAACAAAGTAATCGGTAGTAGTCGTACTATGACCAAAAACGTGACGTTGGGAAAAATTCATTAGCAGCACAGCAGATGTCTACTCTGATAATTTGTATAAGACGAGCCTAGGCTTGTCTTTCTACCATAGCGTAAATTTTACTTTTGTAATGGAGAAAACGTCATTCCAAAGATGAACAGAAAGTTGTTATTCCAGAAATACATACTTCTCCCACTCCCTTAACTCAAATCTGCTCCAGATTAGCCGATTCGCCAAGCATTTCAAGAATGTATCCACTGTTTTGCACACCATGCCAGCCAGTCGAGATACTTTTGGAAGTTTGTACCCGAATATGCTGTTGATTTTCAAAAGACAGTCGAAGTAGATGATAAAGACCTGGTCACTTTGCAGGGTTATGCAAACTAAAAATTCCTTTTCAAAATGATAAAAGGGTTGTTGGAGGTCTTTTAAGCCTTGTATTGCAATGCATTTCTGTTTAAACGACGTGTCGTATTAACAAAACTGTTAGAATTATGACGAAGTCGATTCTGAGGATCAAAAATCGAAACATTCCCTAGGAAAAGCGCAGAAAATAACCGTAGAGCCCAACAAAAAGTTTCTTCCTTGTAAGACTGTCGAAGAGAGACATGATAACATCTGCTTTGAACTGAAGAGCAAACAAACAATGCCCCTGAGCACACTATTCAACTCCGGGTTGCTAGCAACTCAGTTTTTCTCAAAGGCTAAGGAAGGACACGTCACATAAGACAACTTAGAACCCGAAGTCTCCATCCTTCATTCTGTTTGCATGCAACGTAAATCATTCAAAACACTTCGAAATAATTAAACTAACTAAAGAAGTAAAAAGGTCAGAATGCAAGCTTTTGCGCGAATGAAAAAGCGCGGAGCACGCAGAGTGCGTCAGTCATTTGCACAGATACGTCAGCATGGCGATGACGCTTTTGGGCGACGATACTGTAGCCTATAACGGGTGTCGAAGTTTGCAACGGAGCAACGGTCCTTTGCATGTGCCAAAGGTAGCGCTTTGAACGAGGTAAGCCAGATTTTACTGAGAACCTGAAACAAGGTTGGACTGTCCATATGATGGATATATCACGCTTTTTTTTCAGTGGTTAAGTGTGGCTTTTTCTTCTTCGCCTTGGAGGGTTGGCCTTCTGTAGGACGTAGTCGTTGCTTTGAGCTTCTGTGGCCGTATTCATTACTGATACCTTGAGGTCAATTCTACTCCAGGTAGTTTTATCAGTCATTATCAGCAAATACATTGAGAATTTACCTCAAGGTACTTTGTGAATACGGGTACTTGCTGATAACGAGTGATAAAACTACCTGGAGGTAGAATTTACCTCAAGGTATCAATGATGAATAGGGCCACTGGAGAGCACCATCGGAAAAATCGTGCTGGAAATTGCTACCGCGTTGTCAAATAGGGACGGAGGGAGAGGGGAACACCAAATATGGTCTACTTCCATATTAGTGATATCTGTTTCCTACGTCGTCAGCTACGGTGTGCTTGCGTGCGTCTGATGGTGAAGCTATGGCGTAAGCCATACTTGTTCCACTTGATCAGCTTGATCTACTTCATCCACTTCGCTATGGCCAAATAATTAAGTAAAGTTGGGTTCATACTCATCCCTAAGTTCCGGAACAGTTCCAGCACAGCGTTTGAACTGTGCGCTGTACTGGATTTGTTCTGGAACATACGGACCAGTGTGAATCCAGCCTAAACTATAGCTAAACGGTGTCCACTTGACCACTTGATCCACATCCACTTTGCTATTGGTCAGTTCACTGATTCGACCAATAGCGAAGTGGTTCAAATGGATGAAGTGGATCAGGTATGGCGCGTGCCTCTAGATGTCGGATACGGCGGTAAGAATGTGCGTCACAGTTGTCCTATGATTTATCAAGATTTGCTGGTTACAAGCCCTAGGAGGGTTTTTCTTCATAGTGAGTCATAGCTGCACTTTTATGACACACTAATCCGTCAACAGCGAATCTATGAGGTGATATTTGCCGCTTGTGGTCGCTCTGCCCAGCTTGCAATCTTTGGTGCTGTTCGGCCGTTTGCACGTGCGCGCGACCAGTATCCGGATGATTTCAGCCGGATCCGAGTCCAATCCGGATCGCAGACAACTATAAACATCTTAATTGTTATATACAGTATCTATGCGCCCATATACTTCGTTTGAGCGCACATTAATCAGCATACCGCATCCTTTGTTGTATCTTTTTTGTTTTTCTACTGTTTCACCTTTACTTACAGTTCGCTGTTCTCACATGGGTGTAGCTGAGCAGCTTTCATCATGGCAATTGTTCCTCATAGTTACCTCGGTGCTATTAGCCTTGAAAGTGCTGCTTATTCCAAGCTACACATCCACCGACTTCGAGGTATATAAGGTCGATCGAGCTATATAGTACTCTTACCCGCTTAATCTTAGGTACACCGGAATTGGATGGCAATAACCTACAACCTTCCGCTATTTCAGTGGTACCATGAGAACACCTCTGAATGGACACTAGATTATCCACCTTTCTTTGCATATCTTGAAAAGGTGAGGCAATTCTGTTACACTTGTTGTAAAATCCGAGTATTTTGGAGTCACTCATGTCTGCACATCTGGTGGTAAACTCTAGTTTTTTTTTACAACATTCCTTCAGGTTCTAGCAACAATAGCCCATCACTGTGGCCTCGATGACATCCTTGAAATTAAGCAAGGGCCGCTATTCAACGACAGAGTACTTTATTTCCAGCGTCTTACAGTTATAGCTACAGATTTTCTATATGTAAGTCTAATCTGCTTCCCGCTTCTCCTCTTATTGTTTTTGGACCAGTAATTTTCGCTGTTTCTTACTTGTGGATCATAATGCTTTTTTGAAAGCTTTCATTTTCATACCTAACACTGTCATAATTTCTTGAATTTGAAAGTGTACCATTTAGAGTATTTCTCAAATCCCTACCTTGAAATATATCATTTAGTGTCCAAAGTCTTTAAGTAGCGCTTTCTTTATAGATAAAATGTGCTTGGAATCTTTGCCACAGAATATTTCCACTGTCTTGTGTGTACCAAACGCTCATTGTTTGTCTACACAATCACGAATCCATTGCGGAAAGAAATACAGTCAATATTTTATATTTACAGATTATATCCTGCGCCGTGTTTTGTTTCACCAATTCACCTAGATGGAAGTTGCTTCCAAAGAAGCTTGAGAAAAAGGCTAGGTCAGTTCTTTTATGTTTTTTGTGCTCTTACATTTACCTTTATGCAGTATCGCTGTTTTTTATCTGCTTTTTTAGATTAGCTACATTTGTTGCCCTGACCTGCAATGCTGGTCTAATCATGGTTGATAATATGCATTTCCAATATAATTCTATGCTTACCGCCATTTTGATACTTTCTATACATTTTGCTGATAGTGGGAGATTTCTCATGGTGAGTCGCTCTGTGAAGCAGTATCAAAACATATGCACTTCTTTATAGGCAGCCTTTCTATATTGTGTCTTGCTAAATTTCAAGCATATATACCTTTATTATGCACCTGCTTATGTGGTATTCTTTTTACGCAGCTACTTTTTCACCACCATCGATGAACTGTTCGATGTTTGTCGAATTTTGCAATTAGGTTAGTATCGTTGCTTGCAGTAGCTGTAACATTTGGATATGATGAGACTTATATGCAGGACTCAAGCTTGCTATAGCAATGGCGACGCCATTTGTGTTGTCTTTCCTACCTTTTCTAGCAGCAAACGGCCCTAGCGAGATTTTGCAAATTTTGAGCAGACTATTCCCTGTTTCCAGAGGTAGGCCATCAAAGTCCCTACGATTTGTGGCTAAATTCATAATCTCAGGGCTCACGCATGCTTACTGGGCTCCAAACTTCTGGGCTTTGTACAATTTGTTGGATTTGCTATTATACCGAATTTTATCCTTATGGAAACCAGAGCTATTTATCGCACCAACATATAGTTCAGGACTTGTGCAGGTAACGCATCAAAGTCAAAGACTTCTAATCCTCACGCTAATGTGTCCCTTCTAGGTTTACGACCATTCGGTTTTGCTAAATATCACCGCTCCACTATCTCTATTGTTCGTTATTGCCTCGCTGGTTCCTCTATTTGCGACATTGTTCAAAATCAAAATGCCTGACATGTGCACACTGCTTGCGCTTAGCGCATTCTCTTTCTTCTTCTTCGGCTATCATGTGCACGAGAAGGCTTTATTGCTTATAGCAATTCCATTACTAATTACAGCTTTTACGGTATGTGAGTCTTTCTACTGCGCGATTTCGTTTACATACATTTTGTTGCAGGATCCGAGATTTGTCCAGCTAGCTGTTTTATTTACTGTGATCACCTGCACTTCAATGTTCCCTCTTCTTTTCACTCTTTTTGAGATCCCTATCAAGTATTGCCTTGCCACCACGTATACGTTGCTGTTTTTACTTATGATCAGGTATCGTTTGCTTATCACTTCAATGAATTGCAGTGATTTTTTTTCGATTTTTAGATATGCGTTTAGTATTAGAGCGGCTTCGCTATTTTCAATACAAGCCATTGCGTATATTTCCGGTCTTATATTGCTAGAGTTGAACGCCTCATTCCTCCACAAGGTGTGTAACAAAGTGTGACAACTTCACATAACCTTATATTTGAGGTTATATTCGGTGATAAATTCGCTTTCCTTCCGCTCATGTTGATCTCTGTATACAACGCTTGTGGAGTTCTGTTCTGTTATTTCTGGTTAATACTGCTAGTCTTTGATGATGACATTATGATCATATTCAAACAGAAGCGGTGTGAGCTAATGGAGGTAAGGCTATGATCTTTGTTTTTAAGAGGGTTGCATTTAATTCAGCTGTTTCAGAGCCTTATAAAAGCTGGGCTTTATCCAGTGCAGGCAGTAGAATCGCTGGATGAAGTCGAAATGATTGGTGGTATTGATATATCCGCATCGAAAACGAATCAGGATTTTGCAGTGGTGGCATTCAGTATTTTTGAGTATCCTACCATGAAGGTGAACTAATCTGCATGATTACTGATGTGAAAATTCTTTTTTTTTGCAGGAAATCGCGGTTTTTGATGACGTTGTGGTTATAACTGAACCTTACATTACGGACTATCTAGCTGTACGTGAAGCTGCACCAATTGCAGACTTCATTAACAGAACTCTTGAAGAGCAACCGCATGTGCGGCCAGACGTTATCATCTGCGATGGAAATGGAAAGTTTCATCTTCGAGGTAACTTTTCTTTTGGTTGAGAAAGTCGAATCTTTTTATTCGTGAACTATCCATAACAATATAAAGTGTTTGAATCACACAGAAACTGTAGTCGCGAAGTCAACGCATCATTATCTAGATCTTTTACTGCTCCCACCCCCCCCCCCCCCCCCACCGACCTTTGTTTCGAACAAGGTCCTTCATTGCATTGTTTAGGGTGTGGCTTAGCATGTCATATCGGAGCTCTCACTGGAATAGCAACTATTGGTGTAGCGAAAAAACTCAACTTGTCGCTTTTAAAGTCGTTGAATGCAAATGAGGAAGTGATGAGCGCTTCTGAACAGGTAAGTCCATTGGTTCTTATTCGCTTACTGCTCGGTTTCATTTCACTTTCCATAATTTCACCCATTTCTTTCAGCTGATCACCAGCGTTTCATCACAAGATACAGACGGTTATGCACCATTTGACGTAATACTCCCAGTCGTGATGAATATCACTCGAGTAGGCGGTTCGAAGGTCCCTGTTTATGTGTCATCGGGTTACGGTATCGAGCTCAACCTGGCGACTCAAATAGTACTATCTGCTGCTGACCACAGGATCTGCAAACCAATCAGAATTGTAAGTAGCATTTGAATTTTTCAGACTAGTAATTCCATATGGAAGTTTCATTCCAGGCCGACTTGCATTCAAGAGAAAAAGTAAGAGAATATTTCGATGGTTGACGGAAAGATGGTCGTCATCAGAGTTGTTGATAATTTTATTGTTATCGCTGCTCAGACAACTGGCCGGAACTTCCGCAGCGCTTTCGCAGGGTTTCCGCAGGTGACCCGGCGGAAATCCTGCGAAAGCGCTGCGGAAACCCTGCAATCTCAGGGTGCAGGGTTTCCGCAGCGCTTTCGCAGGATTTTCGCAGCACTTTGCGCTTCTAATTCGCGATCCGTTCCTTCCATATCAAACTTCCTTTTTGATACTAGATTTTCCTTTCCAATACTAGGTTTTCGCTTTTTACTAAGGCATTATTCCTTTGATGTGGAAATTCCTCTAGACTTTCTAGATGCTAAGAAACGTAGACAGGAGATAGTTTTAATGAGAAAGCAAATAGCACAGTGTACTGTTTTATGCAGGTACCATATAGAATCACAATGGGCCGAAGTTGATAAGTGCGAATTAACAGATCAACAAAGTGTTCATAAATAAATATACATAAAACCACAGAAGCATTCGAGTATATATGCATAACCGAATAAGGTTGGAAAAAATCGGCAAATATCAAGAATCAAAAAGCAATGTTGTAATGATGGAAGAGTAAAGAATTATGGAAGAATAGAATAAAAACAAGATTAACAATCTCATTCACAAAGGATAACATGAGCTTCAAGGGAAGATGGAAACCGTTTCCACCTATCGAGTGTCATTTTGACCTTTTTGACCTTGTCCGCGCGACTGAAGCCGGCTTCGGCCTCCCTTCCTTTCTGTAGTGAGAATTATTGAAATTTCTTGATGTTACGTGCCTTGCCGCAAGTGTTCATTTTGCAACTTCTTCGCCAAGAAATACGAAGCAAATTTAAACGATTTATTTTGAATTTTGTGAAATTCCGAAATCTCAACAAGAAAAGCTCTGAAACAGATTTGAAAATTACAAGAGTTTTCTGCAAAAATCATGGCTTTACTTCCACTTGAATTTTTTTTGAAATTTTCAAATTTGAAGAGACAGAACTTTTGTTTCAATCTAATATTCCAGCATTTTCCACACAAAACAGGTATATGTCAGACTCTAAGGCAGGTATTAAGTGAAAGTTATTGTAAATTATTGTTGAATTTTCATAAATTAATACTTAGAAAATAATACTATTGAACCAAAAGCTCGTCCCCATCCTTTTCAAAAATTCGAAACTTTCTTCTTCACATCCGATCTGCACATGTTTATTCTGAAGGAAGACATGCTCTTTTTAATGATACCTGAGACACTTTTTGATAGCTCCAGAGATCGAGGTAAAGAAAATTACTCCATTTCAATATTCCCCATGTTTGGTCGCCGCAAAAATCTGCTTGCAGAAAATTAGGAATGGTTGAATTTTTGCGGTTACAATTTTTGTACCACCTCGATTTTTAGCACAGCTCCTTCGAAAATTGTCCACAACTATTAGGTGGGTCCAAAAGTAAGTTCTCCAGTTTTTCAAAAAATCATAATTTCCTTACGACTCGACGGATCTCTTTGATTTTATATTCATCTAAGAGAGAAAATCAATCTCTTTACAACGGTATCTCTGAAATGAATTGGCTTAAGAAAGTTCGCGAGTAAGAAGCAATTAAAGAAAACTACTTAAGATTGGCATTTTTCAAGCAGGGTCACCAAAAAATTCTGGAAGTATTTTTCAATAGGAAAAATCATGTTTTTTACTACAGTGCCTTTTTCAAAACAAAAAAATTGAGGATTAGAAGCAAATAAAGAGAATTACTACAGTTTTGCAATTTTTGAGCATGCTCAAAAATGCCCAAAAACATCATAGAAAAGACGTGATATTTATGCATATTTTTGTGACCTCCTTCTAGCTGAGAAAAATTCGTGCCAATCAAAAGCAATTTTGATTCGTGGAAAATCAGATTCGAAAACTCGGTAATATTACGAAAATCAAAATTGCTCTCAATTGGCACGAATTTCTTTCATTTAAAAAGAGAAGGTCATTGAACCCATGTTCACATGGCTTTCCCAGCCGTCCCGACGCAAAACTGAAGCAATTCTCTTTATTTGCTTCTAATTCTCAATCTTTTTTATTGAAAAATGCACTGTAGTAAAGAGCATAGCTTTCTCTATCGAAAAATACTTTCAGAATTTTTTGGTGACTCTGCTTGAAAAATGCCAATTTTGAGTAATTTTTTTCAATTGCTTCTAACTCGCGAACTTTCTTGAGCCAATTCATTTCAGAGATACCGTTGTAAAGAGAATGATTTTCTATCTTCGTATAAACGCAAAGAGATCCATCGAGTCGAAAGGAAGTTACGATTTTTTGAAAATTTCGGCCCATTATTCTCCCCCACCCCCCTCCGTTTTGATATATTTCTACTCAATCACTTCTGCTTTATTTAGAACCAGTGCATATTTTCTACAAAGTGATAGTTTTAGATTGCTTGCGTTATTATTTCAATCGCACATAAAGCAAAGAAGTTCGACATACCGGAACAAGGGCGCTATGCTTGGACAAAGTCCCTCCGTTGAGTCCTTTTCCAGCACTCCAGCAGCTTGGTGATGGTTGTTCACACACCTGCACCGATGCCTGAGAGAATACTTAGAATATGGATGAGTACAGGTTTATTAACGCCAACACTGAAGAAAGGAAGAAAAAAGAGATAGAGAAGAGAAGGAACAGAAGCGAAACAGTATGGAAGAAACGAGTACGCTATGCGCTATTGATGTTGCGTTTGCTATTTCGCAATCGCAAGTGCATGCGCCCTCAAAGTCCTGCGGAAATGCTGGCGGGTCAAAGTGCTGCGGAAACCTTACGAGCCTCACTGCATTTTCGCAGCGCTTTATGGAAAGTGCTGCGGAAGTTCCGGTTTACGATCGCTGTGACGTCAATTTCCTGCGGAAACCTCGCATTCTGGAGCGTGCACTTTCTCAATGGTTAAGAAAGTGCTGCGGAAACGCTGCAAGTTCTGCTTGTCCTGCGGAAGTTCCGGTGAATTGTCTGAGTGAGCTACGTTATGGGTCATTTTGTTTTTCGTTTTTTTTTTCCTGTGCAATGAAGCAATTTCTAGTCACCAGTCTTGGGACTTTCCTTCTATGTGCCCATAAAAATGATGCCCATCTTGGTCCCGAGTCTACATTTTCCGTCGGTGAAAGAGTGCTTGAGCGATACGTTCTATAATCCAGAATCATCGAACATATGGTTCAAACATTCTCAATGACGGAGAAGTATAACCTCAAAAGTGATATTTGTTCCCAAAGTCTAGAGAAAGAAATTGCTCCTTTAATTTAGGAACATGAAGCCAGTGCCCAGAATCTAATGAGTCCTTTGAATTTTTTTCACTTTTAGCCGTCGCTTTCTTCGCTTCAGCATTGGGGGTGTCCTACATGGTTCTTCTTGTCTTTTGAGCGCGCTCCGAGCATGAAAAAAGGTTGCATTACTACATAGAGGTGGCGTGGAAAAATGCAGTTTTTGTGCTTGTACCAAATACTTTATCAGAGTGAAAAAAAAGGTGGCGAGTTTCCTGCCATTGACAACTAGATATATCTACCGAATATGAGAAAAAACTGTTTTAAGAAACATGTGTTGGAGGGGAAACAGGGGGTTTTGCCGCGGGAGGTTGATATTATACTCGTATCAACAGTTACAATTGGCTGCGAAGAGCGTACCCTATACCGGTGCAAATCTCGCTTTCGCGCGGGAGCCCTGTTCATAGGTGGGCACGCCCTATAGCTTCCATTGCAAAGCAGATGACGCTCAAGGAAAACGATTGTTTTCTAGTAAAAATCACGAGGGGAACAAGTGTTTCTGTCGTGTGATTCCAAACTCTGTTTCAAAATAACGGGGATCGACCGTAAAATAAACCCTTCTTCGGTCCTAGGTGCATTGATGATCAGAATTAATGACAGGTGTTTTACCTCCGTCTTCTGGCAGTCCTAAAGAGTGACTCCAATCACGAATGCTGAACTTTTCTTTTGGGGTGGGGGAACGAAAGCCGCCAGGTCCAGCCGCCTCCGCGGACTGCTGGTCCTGGAACGACATGCAACAACGCTGCGAAAGGACCAGCTGGCCGCGAAAGGCGGCTGGACCTGGCGGCTTTCGTTCCCCCACCCTTTCTTTTGTTCCATATCCTAGCTAGGATTCGGAGTACTTTTTCTTTGCATTTAGCCTCCCCAGTCCCACTTTAAGTGTAAGTCACAAATGTTTTTCGGCAACGCTTTCTTTCGTCAGAGTTCGTAGTGCTGTTTTGCGACAAAAGGCGTCTCAAAAGTTCGTTATAAGCGATCGCAAAGCAAGATGTGTTAGCTATCCACTTCGAGAGCCTTCCACCAATCAGCAGCTGCCAAATCACAAGAACAGATGACTGGTCGAGGAGGAGCTGCCCGGTTAGAACTTGAAGGTTATGATTAGTGAATGTCTTGTTATATGAAGTGGAAACGATTGAAGAGACTTCGCCTTTGAAAATGATTTGATGCAAGTGAAAGGCTTCTGGAGTTGTCGTCGACGCTGTTTGATTGTGTAGCAAATGAAGAGTAACTACGCTGGCGGGGTAATGTCATAGCGCACTGAAAACGTGCCGCTTACATACGCTGTCTACGATGTACATATTCATGTTGAAAGTAAATCACATGCGATATCGCGTGCACAGGGATTCGTAGTCGAATGTGGCTGCACGGCCATTCCAAGCTATACTCGTTTGGACGGTTCGACGATCCATATACAGTCTGCCCAATCGGGATCAGGCCGAACCGTCGACGTAAATTTGCGCGCTCGCAGCGCTAGTCGTTTGCGCTGCATATGCGCGCTGTTGGAGAGAGCGAGGAGATCCTCAGACATTTGCAGTTAAATCCCGCCGGAGATTCGCCCACAAAATGAGAATTCGCGAGAAAACCGGGAGTCTTGCGCAACTCCCGGTTTTGTCCCGAATTTCGGGACAATCCCGACAGTTAAAAAGTGGCGGGAGATTACCGGGAGTCGCGATCATCGATTTTGACGCTATTGCGCGTCAATATCGATTCATTCCTATTTCCACACAGGCTGTTTTTCCTCGCACACGACAGATTTTCTCAATTTCACATCTTTTTACTCTTTGACTGACTTGTATGATCCAGATCCAGGTATATCGTGCCCTCCACAAATGCTGCTACCCCTTTGGTGTGCTCTCATACCAGCCATGTGTGGCAACATGTTGGCAACGCAGCAAAAACATGTTTGCAACATGCCACAACATGTTGACAGAACATCTTAGCCACGCCAACATGTTGTGACATGTTGCACCGCAGCAGCACCGCTTCCGCAGCAATTTTTCCATTTACGCTCTTGCCGTCGTCGGAGGTGGTTGTGTTCCCAACTTCCGATTAGATACCTCTAAGTTATTTTTAGCCGTCGTGATGCCGAGTATGCTATGGATCGAGCTGACGGACGTTGGGTTGAAGGTCGTGGAAGTTGGTATTCTGAATCAATTATATGTA